TGAAATTGTTATTCGAGATCACTTTTTACGGAGGCCTGCGAAACGCTTTGTCTAAATTTTCGGTATAAACTCGGAGACGAAAATGGAGGAGTGGGAGTTTTTGTTATACTTTTTTATTAGATTTACGGTCTTCGAAAAATCTGCAATATTTTCTTTCTCGAATTACGGTAAATTCTCTCTAATTGTTACTTGGCTTGTAAATAAAAATGGACAATTTGGGAAGAGGAGATACGATTATTCGAGCCTCGCGGCTTGCCAACGACTATAAAAAGTAATTGAGTAAAGAGTAATAAAAAACTAAAGAGAAATTGTATTTCCTCTTCTCAAATTGTCCATTTTTGTGCGCGATCTGAGTGCGAATTAGGGAGAAATTACTGTAGATGTTGTTCCGTTCTTTAAAATTAGAATAAAATTCTGATCTCTTGGCATCGATGTTTCAGCATTCGAGTAAATTTAGGCGTGCGATATTAATTTCCTTTCCCTTCTGAGACATTATTGCAATCGAAATATTTCTGATCGCAAAATTATCTTCGTATAACTGCGAAGAAAATGGTATATCAAGGGATTAAGATACAGTAATGCCAGAAACGTTCTTCAAACCGAATTAACTCGAGAAGACGTTTCGATCTATAAACCGAAAAGAATCGATTTCTTTCGTTTTACTTTCTTTTTTCAAGTGAAAGCTTGACGATGAAACGCTCTAGTTTTAAGCGCGTTTTTCTTGAAATTCGATTTTCTTAAACGAGCAACGCGTTGCCATAATATGTAATTGAAGCATGAACTACAGATATTAAGAGAATTTTCTGGTACGCATAAGTTAGGATATTTTATCCTATTCACGTCGAACTGGTAAAAAATCCAGTTTACTTTCTGTTTCAAATGATCAGAGCGTCTCTAAACGCGTCAGCTAATAAGAGAACTTTCTTTGAAGATATTATTCGAGGAAATGCAACTCTTTCGATTTTACGTATCGTGGCTGGAAATGCGTATTGTATACTTCAAATAATAGTAATTACCTATATTACAAATTAGTATAATAGGACAGTGTCTTCTGATCTCCAAGAAGGCCTAAAAAGTAACACTCTATACTAGAATACCGCCTTTAACGTGCAACAAGTATAAAAATCCTCGAAAACGTTTCGAGCGAAGGAGACCAATTGTATACGAATCGTTAATGAACAAGATGAAAATCCTGAAAAGAGTCTCTCGATAGCAAGTCCCAGTATTCGCAGGAAGTTCCGCGACCGAGAAGCATCGTTCCCGAAACGCAGAATTGCGTGAGAACAGATCTCTTTCGGATATAGCAAGCGCAAGAGCCTTTAGCAATTCGCCTAGCGAGCAGGAAACGTTCTCGAATCACAAAGTTAACCCTTTGCACTCGAGCGGTGACTCTGAGGCACGATTAAAATTTGTTGTATCATGTTCTGAGATAATTTTTATATTAACAAAATTTAGATTTAAATCATTGTTAAGGGCATAACTGTTGCGCGAGTCACAAGAGTCAACTTCATATGCATAAAATGCAGTTTGTCGTATAAAATAAAGATGCTATAAGCCAGAAAGGTTATTCTAGATTTGCAGATTGAAATAGCTTCGAGTGCAGAGGGTTAAAACAGCAAAAAAGTTGCAGCTTCAGCTCGGAGGACAAGGTTTCCTTAAAATAGAGCAAATCGGAGAGTGTTCGGGAAGCGTAACGATCGGGAAAACTGCTTCTCGAATTGCAAAATTGCAACGCAAGAAGGATCGCCACCTGCGTCTTCTATCTCGCGAGAGATAATTTCTCTTCAGAACGAACTAACAAGACTTACAAGACTTACAAGACGAGCGGTTTTACAAGAAGAACGCCGAATGCCGTTGCACGTATCCATGTCTTCGATATTTTAGCTTCGTTTCGAATTTCTGTCCGAGGTGAAAAAAATATATACGCTGTCGAACTGAGAAAAATAAAGGTCCGAACACGCTTGATCTAGCATCGATCTCTGATTTCGGACTTCTCGGGGGGAAATCTGGCGAAGAATCTAGAATTTGTGGTTCCTTAAAGAATAGAAGACTGTCAGAGATGGTCGGAAAAGAGGTTTGAAGTAGAACTTGGCGAAGGAACGATATCGTTGGCTCGTGTAGGAGAGGAGAAAGGTTCTAAGAGGGAATCGAGGAGAGTCGATTGGAAGAGACTCGAAGGAATACTTCGCGAGGAATATCACTGTAGATTAGCCTAAAACTGGAAATGAAACTGAAATCTGCACGCAGAAGTGGAGAAGACTGGCATAAAAGTGAAGAAGCCTTGCGTGGAAGTGAAGAAGACTCGTGCAAAAGTGAAGAAGACTCGTGCAGAAGTGAAGAGGACCAGTGCAAAAGTGAAGAAGACTCGTACAGAAGTGACAAAGTCTCGTAGATCATCGAGAGAAGGCGATCTAGAGATGCTCGAAGGAATACTTCGCGAGAAATATACACCGTGGCCTCGCCTAAAACTCGAAATAGCCTACATAAAAGTGGAAAAGACTGGTATAAAAGTGAAGAAGCCTAGCATAGGAGTGAAGAAGACTCGTGCAAAAGTGAAGAAAATTCGTACAGAAGCGACAAAGTCTCTTAGATCATCGAGAGAAGGCGATCTAGAGATGCTCGAAGGAATACTTCATGACAAATATACACCGAGGATTCGCCTAAAGCTGGAAATAACTCACATAGAATTGAAAAAAAACTTGTATAAAAGTGAAGAAGCCTCGCGTAGGAGTGAAGAAGACTCGTACAAAAATGAAGAAGCTCGCCTAAAACCGGAAACAACCCACATAGAATTGAAAAAAAACTCGTATAAAAGTGAAGAAGCTTAGCATACGATTGCAGAGAACTCGTGCAAAATTAAAGAAGTCTCCTACAAAAGTGCAAAAGCCTCGTACAAAAGTGTCCAAATCAGACGATCGAGAGACCGCGATCTCGAGAAGCTCGCGCTAACTGTTCGCGAGAAATATCCACCGCGGACTCGTCTAAAGCTAAGAAAGAACTCGCGTAGAAGCAACGAAGACGAGAATACGTACATACATACAAGATCGGAGAATGTCTCGTAGGAGACTCTCGTGTAGAAGGCTCGTAGAAGATTATCGAGCGTAGACAATCGAAAGAGAGGCCCCGGCGGAGTGGACGGGGCGCGATGGTAAGGACAACTGGATCTTCAATGATCTGTGGTAGATGGTATCGCGGTGCACCTGTGAGAGAGAGCAAGGTTGGCCGAGCCGTGTGGAGCGTGCCGGTATAGCATCGAGTTTCCAGCAGGCTGATCGTGAGACGAAGTCCAGATCGTTTCGTTTAGATGCCCGGCTTCTACTACGGGCGGTGGGGATAAGCCCATGGATTGCGGTTTAGTGGGGATGGTTGGTCGCTCGCGGGGAGTTATGAATGAGTCGTGGAGTCCTGACCCACGAGTCACACGGGTGGTGGGGGGACGCGGCGTTGGTGAGCGTGAAATAAAGAGGAGGGAATTCGACGGGTGCCGGAGGCGGAGGAGCAGAAGGAAAAGAGGTTCTTCGGGGGAAGAGAAGGAAGAATAGAAGAGACGAGTAACAAGGAGCCAGAGGGGAAAGGAAAGAGAGAGAGAGAGAGTGGGAGAGTGACAGAGACGGATAGATAGATAGAGAGAGAGAGAGAGAGAGAGAGAGAAAGCGAGGGAAGGAGAGCCGAGGAACGGTGGGGGAACGCAGGATTGACCGAAAGCGGGGTACGGGCCACGTGCTACGGTGGCTTTACAATCGTATATAGGCACCGGCGAACCGAGCTGCCACGACCATACACTGATAGTCATATACTCGGGGCGCACCAGATAAAAACGGGAAAGAACGACGCGGAGACGGCGTCGAAGAAGGGAGAGAGGAAAGAAGGAAGCAAAGGAAACGAGCAGCAAGCTGGCGAGGTAGGAAGGAAGGAAGGAAGGAAGGAAGGAAGGAAGGAAGGAAGCGAAGCGAAGGAAGGAAGGAAGGAAAGAAGAAAGGGAGCGAAAGAGAATACACAGGATAGAGGGAGAGAGGGAACGGACAAGAGAAACGACCTACCGACAACCGAGACAGACAGAAGTCCACCTTCCACTTCCATTCCCTTACGCAGGTTCACTCCTACTATAACGACGAGCGAACAGCCTGCCTCTGCTCGCTCGCCTGCCTATAGCTGGCTTCTCCTTCTCTGTTTCTATACCGACCTACCTACCTACCTTCTCCGCGCCGTGGTTAACTCGACAGAGAGACGACGAGAGGTGATACACTCGATACACTCGGCCCGAACGAGGGCGACGAAGACCTCTCAGTCACCTCTTGACATTCGGTATGGTACGACCTTACCCCACCGGCGTGCGAGCGCGACCACGTACCGGCAACCGGGCCCGACCAGTCCCGAGCGCCGCTTAGAGGGAAAAACCAGCCGAAAGACCGGGCGGAGGGATAAACCGGCGGATCAACGGCGGAAACGGCGGAGAGAACACGAACGGGAGACAAAAACCGGAGGCGCTGAGGGACCACCCCTAACGGCGCACCGAGAGAACCCAGCCTTTTTTCCTCTCCTCTCCTCTTCCGTGTCGCCCCCCTCTCTCCTCCTCCTCCTCCTCCACCTCCTCCTCCTCCTCCTCCCCCCCCCCCCCCCCCCCCCCCCCCCCCCCCCCCCCCCCCCCCCCCCCCCCCCCCCCCCCTCCTCCCCCCCCCCCCCCCCCCCCCCCCCCCCCCCCCCCCCCCCCCCCCCCCCCCCCCCCCCCCCCCC